ATATATATAGAGAGAGAGAGAGAGAGAGTGAGAGAGAAAAAAAGAAGTGTATTTCGGAATACACAAAGAGGAAGACATATTGAATGCATGAAGAGGGAGAGGGGGTAGAGGTAGAGAGACTGAGAGTGAGAGAGAGACGGAGGAAGAGAGTGAGACAGCAAGGGAGAGAGTGAGAGACAGTGAGAGAGAGAGAGTTTCTGAATGAAAAAAGACAGACAGAGAGAAAATGAATATATGTGTGTGTTTGACAGATAGAGAGAGACGGAGAGAACAAGAGAGAAACTCACATACACACAACACACACACATACACACACACACAAACAAGATACAAACACACACACATACACAAACACATACACAAGCAGTCATCAATGATTCACAACAAAACCACCAAAGCGACATAAGCTGACGACAACCGATTCAGACCCGTTGTGCACGGACCTCGTATGCAACACACTTGGCTCTTATGGGTTCGGTGGACAATGATAACCTCGAGCAGAAGCTTCGTAAGTCCTGTATCTTTGTATTATAATTTTACAATTTCAAAGAGTGTCACGACGTGATAGAAGGAGGTGGGGTCGCCCTGTTTCAGAGGTAAAATTAGCGAGAAAATGGCCGCCAAAGTTTAACAATTTCAATAGATTGAGAGTCCCTGAAAATGATAAAATTACATTTGTACCTTTAATAAATTAATCAATGTTTTTTTGAGAAATTCAAATGGAAATGTGTTTTTATATATGGACACGAAAGGTATCGAGTCAAAAAAAATGAAAATTCAATAAAAGTTTCCAGACTGGTGGAAAAGAGCCTTCAATTCCATTATAATTTTGACAAGCGCCTGATTTCACCACGCAGCCTCACATAATGTGTAAAAAGGTGAACAATCATATTTTATATGTATGTAAAAGTAAAAAGGTTTTCTAAAATATTAAGAAATAAAGGATATAATCAGTTTTTTGCTTTTCCTGTAAAATTTTGTCTGTGGCGCTTATATGGGGTTTGTGCACAACGTCAACGATTTTTAAAAAGTCACTCAGCTGATAGTGAAATCTTAAAGAAGCAACATAGCGATGATTATAAATAGTCGTAAAGGTATCGAGTCAAAAAAAATGAAAATTCAATGAAAGTTTCCAGACTGGTGGAAAAGAGCCTTCAATTCCATTATAATTTTGACAAGCGCCTGATTTCACCACGCAGCCTCACATAATGTGTAAAAAGGTGAACAATCATATTTTATATGTATGTAAAAGTAAAAAGGTTTTCTAAAATATTAAGAAATAAAGGATATAATCAGTTTTTTGCTTTTCCTGTAAAATTTTGTCTGTGGCGCTTATAGGGGGTTTGTGCACGACGCCAACGATTTTTAAAAAGTCACTCAGCAGATAGTGAAATCTTAAAGAAGCAACATAGCGATGATTATAAAAATAGTCGTAAAGAAAAACTGAGGTCAAGACAAGAGATCTACCTCTGCCTCTTGATTCAAAGCCCTACCCCCAGAAACATAATTATGATAATATATCACCTTACAGTTTCTGTTTCTGACTTTGAAAGAAAAAAGTAAATTAATAACAGTCGAAATTGGCCAAGATGGCCTCTTACTGTTGAGGAGAAAATTGGTGGTCTTCGACAGGTGGACGACTTAGCGAAGGCGACATAGGGAAAAAATGCAAGGGGCAAGTAGCAATTTAACTGGTCAGGTGTAAAAATGTGAGTCTTGGACAGCGATGGGCCTCTAGGCAGATTTGACAGTGAACATTTTTTAGAGCGAAGTGACTATTAATAGACAAAAATTATATTCGGACTCTGAATTGAGTTCAGCGTGACGTCCGTTCCGACTTCCGACCCTTGTTCCTAAATATTCCGGCCAGCATTTATGAACATTTTTTCGATTATAATTTGATAATTATAATGAAGACTTGAGCTTTAATATCCATTTACTAGATCTATCTACACTGGCCTTCCCCGCATCATTAGTAAGAACAAAATTAAGTTGAGCTGACCTTGCCGGGGGCAAAGTTAATTAAATGTCGACCAATGAGATTGCGCGTAGCGATCTCACCGTGATCTCGACTTGCTGGGGGAAGATGTGTTTGGGAAGAGGCCGCAGCTGTCGATTTTGTGCGATGATTTTTTTTTTTTTTTTAAAAGAAAAGAAAAACTATAACACATAAAACAAAATTAAATTAAACATGTGGAAAGACAACTGGTGGTGGAAGTACGATGATGCTGTATGTAATGTAGTGGAGGTGGAAAGACCGTGAGACCTAAGTTTGTCAGTTAAGCCTACCCTTGACACTGCTATTGGGTAGATCTAATAATGAATGAGAGTGCAGTCTTGTGACTTTTGACACAATACAATTACGCAGTCCTAAATAGGCAATTCTAGATCTAAAAAACATTCTATATTCTTTTTGGACCGGAGTCCGACTCTAAAAACCCATTTCGGACTCAAGGTCCGAATTGAATATAGATCTAGATTCTAGATAAAAATTATATTCGAGTCCGAATAGAGCTGGAGAGAGCTGGTCGTGGCAGTCTAAATTCTATTTTTAAACGTGGTACCATGACTTGTCCCACACTTCAACAAAAGTAGATCTAGATTCTAGATTTAGATTTCTAGTGGGCTACAATAAAAGTACGCAAATCGCAACAAGAGAGAGACGAGAGAGAAGGAGAAAAGTAGTCATTCTTCAGGATCTGCATGCCACTAGATCTAGGATCTAGATCTAGATTCTAGATGTAGATCTAGATAGATCTATCTATAAATTATTTATTTAGTAAGCTATTCTCATAATTTCTGGATTCCGGTAGGCTATCCAGTAGCCTAGAATCTATCTGAATTGTCCGAGAAGTTATCTTGCAGATTTGGAAAATTGCTCTTGAAAGTTTCGTTCTTACCAAGTCCAAAACATGGACAAACTGCAAGGGTGACATTCTCGCCAGATTGCTCATTTTGAATTATAAGAATGGACAACGTGTACGTCCTCTCAGTCTCAACAGAAAAGCAACAAAACAACTGGTTTCTACGTTATGAGTGGGATGGCCTAAAGAGTGTCCTCAGTCCCAGCACAAAAGCAGTCTGACCACCCCAATGTCTCGACAATTGACGCAAATCGGTGCACTAATAATAGAAACTGATGCGGACTGCCTCGAGTAACTTCGCAGATCCATATCAGCAAAGTTATTTTACTACCTTAATTATTCGAGCCTTCAACTCTTAATTTAAAGGAATATAGCTCATGAAAAGGCATAATTAAGTTGGCATTTGACAAATTAAAAGTGTTTAAAAGCTTTCTGAACTTCCGCTCCAACAGAGGTAACAATGATCTAAAGCAATACTATTTTAAAAAAAATTTTGTTTCGTTGTTCTGGTTTTGTTTACCAAGTTAGTTTTTGAAGCAAAATACCAAGGACGACTACTCCAAATTCTCAAATGTTCAACTTTCTTTGACTTTATCGCTTCGCTAGGCCTAGGCCTCCGTAGTCTAGCTGCTAGAATCTACACTCTAGATCTCTAGATCATACAACTATAGTTTCTCGAAACCGTCTGCCGACCGACTTGTGTGTACTTCTTTTCTGTACAGGTGTCTTCTTGTGACTGGATTCTGTTCTAAAACTGTTGATGATATCCTTATCTCAAGACTAAATCAGCCCAGTAGAAACGTGTAACTACTGTACTATTCAGCACCCTGCTGAGTGTTTAGACTGCTCAGCTGTTGTTTAAGGGCCTATGTCAACTTCAAAAAGACTTCTATTTCATCTTCATTTTCTTCATATTCACCACCACCAAACAGCATTTGGATCAACAAGACCCAGTCTGCGATTTAAAGCAAACAGTTGTTCCAGTTGTAATAAATCTACCTCATATTTTAACAAACAAAAACCACTTGCATCCCAAGTGCTTTCATGTCATCTTCGACAGCAAGAACTTCCTCACTGGACTTCTTTTTGTGTCTATTACCACGACGTTGTCAACGACCAGTTTGGCCTTTCCCACTTTAACTGGCAGGTAATCATGTCGTAAACTTATTGACTTATTATTAACAGTCATTGCAGAAGTGAGTAGTTCTACTCGCTTTCTTTTGAGAATTTAGGTCAGCTGTGGGATTTAAAAGTAAGGTCAACATCAACAGGATGTCCGTCTATCTTTTGATTCATGTCATTCAAGTTTGTCGCTGTCTCAGGAATTAAAGTAGAAGCTGATAAATAATATGATAGAAGGAATAGGATCTAGATCTAGGCATAAATATATATCTGAGCCTTTGCCTAAAGGTGGGGGTGTTTGGGGAGGACTTTCGTAATGAGCAACCACTATGAGATAGAGCAGAATTGAGGGCTTAGTGTAGGGATAGGGGTAAGGGTAGGGTTAGGGGTAGGGTTAGGAGTAGGGTTAGGGTTAGGTCTAGGCCTCTTCTTTTGTGTTTGATGGGGTGGTGGCTCGTTAACGGAAGTCATTCCGGTGTTTGCATAGTGAAATCAGGCGCTGGAGTCAAAATAATGAGTTTGAGGAAACCCACATTCTTCTGCTGGTTTGGACATTTTTATATGGATTGACTTTCTGTTTTTAGGATTTAACACGTTTCTTTTTTTTAAAAAGGCTGATGTTAGGGGAGCATAATTTGCCAAAAGGTGGGATACCAGGGTGTGACAAATGAGGTAAGAAAATCAACTTTATGTAATAGTTCTTCAATCATCGATATTATAGCCTAACGATTGCTCTTTCAGGCTCAGTAACTGCCAAAGTTATATTATATATATGTGGTCTTGGTGTAATTCTGACTTGAATGACGGAAATAGCAAAAAGTTGGTTCATAACAATGATGACACAAATTTATGAATACTCAAAGTTCCTTTCTTCAGCTAGGCTGAGGTTATATTTTGAGACATAGCAAACAACTTCCAAAAATATATATATAATAGAAATGACAGTTTATAATTTAAGTCTTTATTAATTTTTGATGAAATTACTTTTTTGTGTCACAATAGTTATAGTTGAATGAACAATAAGTGACCCAAAAACTATCAATTATTATGTAAAGTTTCATTGACTAGAATTGTCTAAAATAACACTCTGGTCTAATTATAGTCCAGTGATAAATGAAAGACCTTTTACAGCTTTTTAACACAAACTGGTCATAGGGCATGTTATGAATAAATTTAAAGCTCGTTCATTACTATTATGGCACACAGTTTCGTTCATAACAATGATGGAACAAATTTTACTTTGTTACACAAACATTAACTTATTGTTCTGTCTTTCACATAAAATAATATTTTTCATTTATGAGACTCTCCTTAAAATTTTTATATATATATATATATATATGATATGTTGGAAGAATTCAAAGTTTATTTACTGAAAAACCTTTTGAATTTATACCTTTAAAATGGTTAGTTCATATAATTTTATAATGACAACTTCAATTTTGACCTAAAAATTAGTAAATTTTGACCTGTCATTCCTTTTTTTAAAACTTGTATTAAATGAAACTCTCCTCATAATGTTACATATATATCTCTGTACATGTTTTTCAAGTTTATATCACTGAAAAGCCCTCAAAATATATTAAATGGACAATAAATTGTTCGTTCATAACCATTACTACAAAAGTATACTAATTAAAATCTACACCCATACACTTTTGATAAAAATCAAAATATCAGATTGTATGCAAGGTCTATTTATGTCCTTTAGTTGGGATAAAATTAAAAATACATCCCAAAACTACTGTAAATTACATGAAATAAGGTTTCGTTCATTTATAACTGTTATGACACACTGTTTCATTCATAACTATTATGACAAATTTTACTTTGGGCCCCAAAAATTAACTTTGGTCTGTCTTTCACATAAACGAAGAATGTAACAACTACGACATGAAGATCAACATCAACAAAACAGAGACAATGAAAGTAAGCAAAAAGCCAGAAGCACTCAGGATACACTTCAACAACAAGTCTCAGACAAGTCCAAGAATTTAAGTATATATTTACAGAGGATGGGCGACTGAACAGAGAAATTGAAACACGAGTACAAAAGGCCAATAATGTTAGTTACCAGCTTACTCCACTACTGAAACATCCTAACTTCCCCATGAGAAGAAAACTCAAAATGATCAATGCCGTATTCATTCCAACACCCACCTATCAATACCAAACATGGACCACGAACAAGACATTAGAGCGAAGAATTACAACATGTGAAATGCGATGCCTTAGAAAAGCAGTAAACAAGACCAGGCGAGACAAAATTAGAAACTGTGAAATCCGAGAAATGATGGGCACAAGTGATGTCATGCTTCACATCCAACACCAAAGAATCGAATGGTTCGGACTTCTCCTACGATTACCAACGCACCATCCAGCACAACGTGTTTACCTCCAAAAATTTGATGGTAACAAGGCTAGAGGGCGACCGAGAAAGACCTGGATAGATGGAGTCAGGGAAACATTAAACACCCACGGCATCTCCCTGATCCAAGCTCTTCGGCTGGCGACAGAGAGACATCTCTTTCTTCCCACGACACCCAAAAGGGTATAAGCAGCGAATAAAAAAAAAACAAAAAAAAACATTCACATAAAATTGTTTTAATATTTTAGACTCTCCTCAAAATAAACTTATATATGTAGGAAGAATTCAAAGTTTAATCACTGAAAAACCCTACAATACCTTTAGTGGTTCGTTCATAACAATTATGACTTTACTTTAGTTTTGATCTAACAATTAATATTTTGACCCGTCATTTACTTTAAAATATTTATATTGAATGAAATTTTCCTCATAATATGTATCTGTGTACATGTTTTTAATGTTTATCAACACTGGAAAGCCCTCAGAGTACATTATGTTGTTCGTTCATAACAATTACTACCAAAGAAAAATATTTATTAAAATACATACCCTTACACTTATGATAAGAATCAAAATTGTATCAGAATGT